CGCTCGTACCAGCACTCTGCTGCATACGTGAGCGTGGACACAAACACTCCTCTGTAAATAATTTTTAAACTCGGATATCGCATACCCCATGACGATGTCGATACGCGAGTCATTTTGCCAAATCCCTTAGTCGCTCTTTCGGAGATTTCAGAAGCGTGTTGCACAAATGATAATCCTGAGTCCAAAACCACGCCTAGATGCCAGAGATGGGAACAGTATTCCATGTGCGGCCTAACCTGCGCCTTGTAAAGTTGCAGGGGGTGTGCCGGCATGAAATACTGTCCCGCTCTGCTGAGCACGCCAAGCTTTTTATAGGCCAATTTAGCCTTCTCTTCCAAGTGACCACGAAACTGCACGTCACTCGATATATCAACGCCGAGGATTCCGATACTGGCTGAGGCAACAAGGGGAGTGCCTTGAAACTGAGGAGATACGACGAAGGGGTTAGTTACAAGTATCTAACCGAAATCATAACATTTCTGGCATTTCTCAAAGTCTCCTATCCTATTATACCCGTATATATTTAACACAGAAAGAAATGGGTTGATGGATCCTCATCTATTTAATGGAATACTTATGTCAATCGTAGGATGCAACGAAAGAGACTCGACTAACAATATACTACCCATACTATAGCCAACTAAAATTGAATTGTAAGCAATTTGTTTACAATTCAAGTGTCGATTTTGGCAAGTGTTGAAATCGGACACCGAAGGTTAGTAGGGAAGAAGTTTGGCTCCTAGGACACGAAATATTCATAATATTAGTATATTGTGTTTTTGAGACAGCATTTTGCCTAATATATATTACGCTATTATTAAGATTTTTCTGAAATCCACGTCATTCGAAGAACAAAAAAAGCAAAAAATTTCCAATAAGTTCCGAATATTAGAACAACACATTTTTTGTCAGCACATATTATTATCTTATCGACGAAAACGTTTTTGTATGCAAAGCTCTTAATACATTTAAACTCTTGAGTGCCATGTCATACATTCATATTTACAAACCTCTGCAAAAACGCATTTTAGTGTACAATAATACTTAGTCCGAATTATGATAATGTAAAATGTATTTATTTTATTAGGTAGATTTAATGCCGTGTGGCATTTCATGCCAGTCAGTCTTGAGAAACAGGGAAAAATGTTGCTATAAGTCAAAAAATTTGAAAATATTGTTGCGCGCCTAAGTTGACGTCATGTACCCGGCACTGGCGCCATCTAGTGTCGGGGACGAGAGCGAGGGGAACTTTCCACACTAATCATTCAACCGACAGCGCCATCTAGTATCGAAACGAAGAACTAAGCTTCTAGAAGCCCGACACTCGAACTTTCGGTGCATAATCGATTGGCGCGCGTATTTACTTGAATATTCTGGATATTTCGGTGATAATGTGTATTTAAAGGCGATTATAAAAAAAGATGCGATCGAGGAAGTATTGAATTTGGCGAGACAAGCGAAGCTTCGGAGCGAAATAAAGTGAATCAGTGTGGTTAATTACTAGTGTTTTAAGTTTTAATTGGTGTTAGGCAATTAAAGTGTAAATTTTGGTAATTCAATCGGCAGTTTTTATTGTCACGAAATTTAAGCTCGTAACAATATTAAAGTTACAGCCTATATATGCCCCACTGCTGGGCACAGACCTCCTCTCATTTCTGAGAGGATTTTAGGGTAAGGGAATTTCCGCCACGCTGCCCCAATGCGTGTTGGGAATTTTTTTCTTATTCCTCAGACATGCAGGTTTCCTCACGATGCTTTCCTTCACTGTCGAGTACGTGGCAAATCAGCACTTAAAATTGCAATTAACAATTGGTGCCGGCGGGTTACTCGCGTTCTGTTATATTTACAGCAAGCGTTAACCATCTGAGCTACCACGGCTCTTCAAAAAATCTGTAATAAAATTAAAATTGTTAATTTGAAAGGTTTAATTAAATAAATATTTAAAAAAAATTACTTAATGATATACCTATGACTTAATGATATATATATATATATATATATATATATATATATATATATATATATATATATATATATATATTCAGCCTCCCGAACAAGCCGGTTTCCGAAAAGGCTTCAGTACCATAGACCACATACATAACCTGCGGCAGATTGTACAGAAGACCGAGGAGTACAATCTGCCACTTTACCTGGCGTATGTGGACTATGAGAAAGCCTTTGATTCCGTCGAAATTTGGGCGGTGCTACGTCCTTTCAGCTGTGCCAAGTTGACTGTCGGTATATCGAAGTGTTAAAGTGTTTGTACAGTAGGGCTACGATGGCTATCCGAGTACAGAACCAGAACACGAAACCTATCCAACTGCAGAGAGGTGTAAGACAGGGTGACGTTATATCCCCGAAACTCTTTACCACTGCGTTGGAAGACGTTTTCATGCTACTGGACTGGAAAGGATACGGTATTAACATCAATGGCGAGTACATCATTCACCTTCGATTTGCCGACGATATAGTCCTTATGGCAAAATCGCTGGAGGACCTTAGCACTATGCTCAATGACCTCAATGGTGTCTCTCAACGGATAGGTCTTAAAATGAACATGGACAAAACAAAGATCATGTTTAATGTCCATGTCACACCTATGCCTGTAGTTGTTGGGAGCACTATGCTTGAAGTTGTTAATGAGTACGTTTACCTGGGACAAATAGTCTGACTAGGTAAGTCCAACCTCGACCGAGAGGTCAATCGACGTATTAAACTCGGCTGGGCAGCGTTCGGGAAATTACGACACATCTTCTCGTCAGGTATACCTCAATCTCTGAAAACTAAAGTGTACAACCAGTGCGTGTTGCCAGTGATGACTTACGGATCAGAGACGTGGTCCTTCACTGCTGGCCGTATGAGGACGCTCAAGGTCGCTCAGCGAGCCATGGAGAGGGCTATTCTCGGAGTTTCTCTGCGTGATAGACTTAGAAATGAGAATATCCGCAGTAAAACCAGAGTGACCGACATAGCCCAACGGATTAGTAAGCTGAAGTGGCAATGGGCCGGCCATATAGCTCGAAGAACCGATAACCGATGGGGAAGAAAGGTTCTCGAGTGGCAGCCTCGTACCGGTAGGCGTAGTGTAGGGCGACCCCCCACTAGATGGAGTGACGATCTGGTAAGACATGCAGGAAGTCGATGGATGCAGGTGGCTCAGGACCGTTCTTTGTGGCATTACTTGGGGGAGGCCTATGTTCAGCAGTGGACTTTTGAAGGGCTGTAATGATATATTTATATATATATATATATATATATATATATATATATATATATATATATATATCCTCAATCTCTGAAAACTAAAGTGTACAACCAGTGCGTGTTGCCAGTGATGACTTACGGATCAGAGGCGTGGTCCTTCACTGCTGGCCGTATAAGGACGCTCAAGGTCGCTCAGCGAGCTATGGAGAGGGCTATGCTCGGAGTTTCTCTGCGTGATAGACTCAGAAATGAGGATATCCGCAGTAGAACCAGAGTGACCGACATAGCACAACGGATTAGTAAGCTGAAGTGGCAATGGGCCGGCCATATAGCTCGAAGAACCGATAACCGATGGGGAAGAAAGGTTCTCGAGTGGCAGCCTCGTACCGGTAGGCGTAGTGTAGGGCAACCCCCCACTAGATGGAGTGACGACCTGGTAAGATATGCAGGAAGTCGATGGATGCAGGTGGCTCAGAACCGTGCTTTGTGGCATTACTTGGGGGAGGCCTATGTTTAGCAGTGGACTTGTGAAGAGCTGTGATGATGATATATATATATATATATATATATATATATATAAAATTGTTTAAGTGCATACACTTTCGTGATTATTATAGTTTTGTTTTACATCGGTTAAAGTGCTAATTATGTCTGTCGCGTTATCCTTTTATTTAAACTACTGTTTTATTTTCAGGGTATACTGCTATTCTGGATCATAGTTTCATTCATCTTGAACTTGGCTCTAAATAAATATGAAGATATAGCAAAGAAGAACACTATGAGATACTGGCAAGTCGATCAAAAACGCAGAGATAGTAGAAGAAAACTCTATCGTTTTAGACATGATAGCAACAGAAACAAACAGAGTATATTTATGATGCCTAATTAAAGAGGACTAATAAATTATGCAGACCGAGTCATGGGTAACAAATGAGACATTATATAACGATAACTCAACAGGCGGTAATCAAAATGCAAACGTTACCGAACTTGCAGATCCAATTGAAAACAAAGCAATCCAGGCCGTTTTCTGTACAGTGTACACAATTATTTTTGTCGTCGGTATCTTTGGTAATGCATTAGTTTGCTATGCTGTTATTAGAAACCGGGCAATGCAAACTGTCACAAATTTGTTCATCACGAATCTAGCGCTCTCTGATATATTATTGTGTGTGTTTGCCGTACCATTTACGCCTCTTTACACTTTCCTAGGAAGATGGGTGTTTGGAAGCTTGTTATGTCATATCATGCCTTATGCTCAAGGCTGCAGCGTATACATCTCAACTCTTACATTGACATCGATAGCGATAGATAGATTTTTTGTTATCATATATCCCTTTAAGCCCCGAATGAAGATAAAAACTTGTATTGGACTGATAATTTTCATTTGGGTTTTTGCGTTATCGGTAACATTTCCCTATGGATACTATATGGGACTACAGGATATCTTTTGTGCTGAGGAGTGGCCATCGGATCAAATTCGAAAAGCCTTTGGAGCAGTTACAACAATTATGCAGTTTGTAATACCCTTTATAGTAATGGCATTTTGTTATACTTGCGTTAGTATAAAATTAAATGATCGTTTAAAGTCAAGACCCGGTAGTAAAAATAGTAAAAAAGAAGATGCAGAACGTGAAAGAAAGAGAAGAACAAATAGAATGCTTATTGCAATGGTAGCTATTTTCGGTCTTTCTTGGTTACCGTTAAACCTTATAAATATAAGTAGTGATTTTTATTCCTTAGCTGAGGCTTGGAGGTACTACATGGTATTATTTTTCGTTGCACACTTTATAGCAATGTCTTCCACGTGTTACAATCCATTTCTATATGCTTGGTTAAATGAAAACTTTCGGAAAGAATTTAAACAAATACTTCCTTGCTTAGGCACATTTGTAATTAGAAAGTCAAAACGAAGACTTAATCAGTCAGAGAGAACGGGTATGTATCGATCGGAAAAATCATGTAATGGCAATGAAACTGTGCAAGAATCACTACTGACTTCAACTGTAAATACAAGTAGAATACCTTCAAATAGATATAAAATTGAATCCAACGACAAAATAAAAACTTATGGAGACGAAAATATAAGTCCAGATGATAAACCAGATGAAAGTCCAAGTCCTAATGAAGACTGTATTAAAATGTACATGATTGTAGATAAGTCGGTAACGACGTCTGATAAGGAGCCTATAGTATCTGCCTTGTAGCTTTAACGGTAAATAAATAAGAATATTTGAGTAGGTTAGAATATTTATTACACAACTAATCAGCTGTGCAGGATGAAATGATGACTATATTTTCTAAGCAATTATAAGTAAAGACTTGACTACTATCTCACCTGGTTTTTAAACGTGGTATAGCCATGCTGCATTTATATAAGTAGGTACACTTGTAGCACGAATGGGTCGGCTCGACCGGGGAAGGACCACACTTTCACAGAATACCAGCGTCAAATAGCAGCTTAGTGCTGCTGTGTTTCATATGTTAAGTGTAGAAAACCAGAGACCCTTTTTACTGGAAACGAGGCATTCCATCTTAGTCCTCACGGGTGACAACGCATCTGCATTTTGTTTTGTAATCGAGGATAGATGTAGATATCTATGGGCCACAGCAACCACTTAGCATCAGGTGGACTGTGTGCTCGTTTGTCACCCTATCCTATATATAAAAATGGTGGTAATGTAGATAAAGATGTTAAAACGAACTTACTTAGAGAATCAAGGACTATTTACTTTTGGACTTACAGTATATTGACGTTATAGTCGTAATGATGATATTTGTTGTAAGCTTTACGAACGACCGAAAAAACTGCTCAGTTCGATTGTGTGGTAAGTTGTTAAGAAAGGTATGGAGACTGTCATAGTCTGATTATCAGATGATGTAAGGGAGAGTAAGGAACTGTGTCTTGGGTATATATATTATACATTTATCGGAACTCTTGTTTCATGTACATAAATAAAACACTTATTGTGACGTTATAGTTAGTGAAGGGCTGTAATGAATGAATGAATGAATGATTTTTTCTGTTTCTGTTACACTCTATTAAAATCCACTGCTGAACATAGTCCTCCCCATGGGTTTCCTGAAAGGGGGGATATTTGTCATAGTTGACACGCTTGGCAACCAGGTTGTCAACCGCAGTTTTAAGTCTCTATTAGGAAGACGTTGCTGCTCATCTCCTGATTTGTTTCCTTCTGTCGCCTCTTACGATACCCATGGGAATATGGATGGGGGGGGGGGTAGTGGATATTCTTACACCGCCACTATACGATAATTTGATTTTATCTGGTTGATATATATATTATAGATACTAGTAGTCTACGTCGTGATACAAAGTTTTAGTAAGTAGTGTTACTTCTTCTTATTCAAAGGCCACTGATGGACATCCGCCTCACACATTGTTGTTATAAAGGCAGATTTGCCATTACAGTAAATCTTTTAATTTGATGCTGTTCCTTGTTTACGGCTGGGTATGTATGACGTAAATAGGATGTTAATACCGTCATTTTATAACTTATATTTTCTCGTATATCTCATAGTCACCTCTTATGCCACCTATGAGATGAAACGCGATCATAGACCCTCTAGAAGCCAAGAGTACAAGGCAAAATAGTAGATTGGAGTAATAGTAGTTTAATAGCAATATAAAATTATTGTATTCAACCAAATGATTAAGTATTTACTGACTTTATTCCACTTTATAACATACATTCTGGATTCGGCAGTTCACCGAAATTTAATCATGTAAAAGGGCTATAAAAAAGTAAATTGCCTTTTTAGCGCTACGCTATTAAGCGAGTTCTATCTTTATAAAGAATAATGACTATAAAAAGTCAGGATAACGCGTGATAGAGCAAAATATCACATGATCATTATTTTTAATGTTTTTTTTTTTAATACAACTTTGGTTTATTTATTACAACCTATCAAAAGTTCTACTCTTGACAGACGGGTAGGCAACCGTAGTTTTTTTTTTATTTTTAGTTGTTATTAGGAAGACGCTGATGCCCACTTTCAGATTTCAGGTTGTCGTAAGAGCGACAGCATGCCTTTTTACCCAGTGACACCCACGGACGAAATGACCTCTTCACGGTGGACAGTGGGTCGCGCTTCCCCATGGCAAGCGTGTTAACTATGGCAAAAATCCCTCCTATATAATATAAGCATTTTTATGAAAGATTATAGTAGTAGTAGTAGTAGCAGTAGACCTGTGATAATTTTAGGAGCCTTCTCAGACTAATTAAATGTACCTCGTAATAACCCGAATAGCCATATAACTAAAAAAACGCCTGTCTAACAACATGGTGATTTTCCAAATAACATTGTATTTCGTATTTCTTAACAGTAACGTGTACTCAAAAATATTTGATTTCAAAATAAATTATTTTCATGGAATACAAGATACCTAAGAAGTATTTTACTGCTATAAACTAAAAATATTAAAAAAATTATCAACCCAATCAAGCCAATAGTGACAAATATGGTAGATACCCCCCTGCTGTTGGAATTTTGATAGGCTGTCATGAATAAAAAACCGTTGAATGTACCTTTACTTACTAACAATATAATATAATACTCTTTATTTAACTCCATGTTACGGCAAGTAGCAAAACTTAACTTCAAGCGTTTTTAGAAAAAAATCTTTCATTCAACCTATAGATTTAATAATAAATTACAAAAATATTTGCGCTAGTTTGTTCTAAGACAGATGTCGGACTTCTCGCTCAGCGCGACTGGCGGCAGTAGTGTCTGCAATCCGCCCTTGGGTTAAGTCAGTCAATTGGTATAAACTGAATGTCAAAGGAATTGTTAAAAGAGCAGTAATATCCAGTCCATATAAATGTTTCAATATCTTGTTCATACCGTAATGTTATAGTCATCACTAAAATAAATCAAAACTGGGCGCTAAAATTAAACATAAGATACATTTGAAAACAAAAGGTAATGATAAAGAAATGTTTGAAAATTTATTAGGAATTAAAGTAATTAAAATAATACTTTTTTCTTTAGTTTTCTTTAATAAAAATCTGATTGTGAGCTCATTTCTTTGAATAGTCAGGCAGTATTATTCAATAATTTAACTAATTTTAACTTAATTTCTATTCTGTTTCAGAGATGAAATTACAAATTCACACAGCAGAGAAATTTGTACTTACCTTATTTCTACTGTACATAAAATGGAGTTAATTATGTCATACGTCATTTAATTCTAAACTCAACAAAAAATAGACATTAAGTTATTCTAAATTTGGACAAATTTGTGACAACGTATATAGATATATATCTTATTGTAGAACTTGGTAAAATTATTAATGTTAATATAATAAGTCAACATGCTATTGTTAAATATTGTAATATTATCTAAACTGAATTTGTAACTATGTTTTGTAATATATAATAATATATACATATGTACTATATACTTTTGTACAAAAAGTGTATACGTCAATTATAGTTCATAAGAACTTGGAGCCCATTGACGAATGTACTTTTTAATCAGTTTTATTATTAATTAAAGTAGTAAGTTAAGTGTATTACTATAAAATATTTTTGTAATTGTTATTGTGAAGTAGAAATATAATACATATTATAACGCCTTGTAAAATATACCAATGAATCTGAATGAGTGCAATTGCTATTATGTCAATAAAATATTCAATACAATATTTGACGTTTTACTAAATCAATATTATTATCTATAACATGTCGCAGCCAACTAGCTTAATTAGCCTTTCAGTTAACAGCCTAGCCATTTTACTAAAGGGTAAAGCCGTTCAAGTAGTGGCCAGAATGATATTCAGTCGATAGGTCTTAATACAAAATTGCAACTATTTTGTAATATCAGCGACCGTAGGTTAAGGTGCCTTGGGCCAACATAAAGCCGCGTATATTTAAAAAAAAAACTTTTTGGTAAATCCAAATGTACATGCCTTAAGCGCTCATGTTACACGTCAATTTTTTAAAGTATTTTAAAAACACAAGTTTTCGCAAATAACCTTTTTACCATCACTTCTAATTATTCGATAATTTTATGTCAAACATCAATAAAACAAAAATTTTGAAAATCCAAAACTGCACGATCATAAAGATCACATGATTTTGAAAAAATTGATCTTGATATAAATTCTTGATCAACAATAGAAAATATTTTTTTTAATTTTACTGTGCTATTATTGAGTTTAAAAAAAATATTGTTAATTGAAAAGACTTAAAAGAATTATCTTAAAACGATCAGTAATCAACTTTAATATTACTTTAATTTTAGGTACATATTTGTACTCAGGCATTATCGTAAAAACTAGTCTTTTTTACATGACTTGTTAATAAAAAAAATCTCATCAATCTTATTTCATTTTCAAAAAGTTTTTCATCTAGTCATAACCAGTATTTTAATTTAGCATTGAGCAAAGTACACCTACATGACTAATAAGTATATACAGTATGTAAATCCTAAGTACTTTTAGGGAAACAATATATTGTAATGAAAATACTGTAATTATAAAAATAATAATAATAGAAACCCCGAGCATAGTCCTCTCGAGAGCTCGTTGAGTGACCTTGAGCGTCCCCACACGGCCGACAGTGAAGGACCACGTCTCAGATCCGTAAGTCATCACTAGCAATACGCGCTGGTTGTACAATATAGTTTTCAGAGTTTGAGGTATGCCTGACGAGAAGATGTGTTTTAATTTCCCAAACGCTGCCCAGCCGAGTTGAATACGTCGAATGACCTCTCGGTCGAAGATGGACTTAACTAGTCAGACTATTAGTACACGTCAACAACTTCGAGCATAGTGCTCCCAATAACTACCGGCATAGGTGTGGCATGGAAATTAAACATGATCTTTGTTTTGTCCTTGTTCATCTTAAGACCTATTCATTTGGAGACACCAATGAGGTCATTGAGCGTAGTGCTTAGATCCTCCAGTGATTCTGTCATAAGGACTATATCGTCGGGAAATCGAAGGTAAGCGATGTACTCGCCATTGATATTAATACCGTATCCTTTAGAGTGCAGTAGCTTGTAAAAGTCTTCAAATGCTGCGGTGAAGAATTTCGGGGATTTAAAATCACCATGTCTTACACCTATCTGCGGTTGGATAAGCTTGGAACTCCGGTTTCGTACTCGGATACCCATCATAGCCCTACTATACAAACACTTCAGCACTTCGATATACCGACATTCAACTTGACACCGCTGAAGGGA